ACAACTGAGTAAACACAAATTCTCTCTTGATGGGGTTTAAACAAAAACATTTAGTCCAGCTCCCTCTTTCTTTCCTGCAGGGGATGCTAATTATGCTATTTAAATGCCTAGCCTGTGAGTTGAGTACACATTAAATACTTTTCCAATCGTCTAACTTAGACTAAACTTACTAATACAGCACAAATCTGAACCCTCTGATATTTAATCTCTACAAAGTGTAGAGGAATGTTTAGGAATAGCCATCCGTTTAGAGATTGAAGCTGTATCCTTAAAATAGTACTAGCAATGGATGGAAATGCATGTGTTAAGGAGAATAAACTTTTAATTTACCTAACAGCAAACAACTGAGTCACTTTAACCTGAGAGGCTGTGAGTCCTTGCTCCAATAAACATCAGGATTGACACCTACTCCTAAAAGCCCTTCACTTAGCAGTTCACAACTTATTAGGAGAAACCACAGATCAAAGTGTGGCAATGATAATGGGATTTAGAGGCCTGTTCATAATGATATCAGTTAACAGATTTCAGATGTGGGAAGCAACATTACTCCACGCTACATATGTTTACTTCACAGGTAACTGTCGCCACCAACCAACAACAACAACAACAGTTAAAGTCTGCTTCTTTAAACCCAAGATAAACCCACAATGTTTCTTTCATCAAGTTGATTTTTCCAAACAACTTTTAGAAAAAAAGTTGTTTATTCAGCAATTAGCACATTTATGGTCACAATTTTTCACTGAAAACAATTGTTTTCATGAGACAGATTGGATTTATTTTGCAGCAATTACAAGTCTTCCCCAATCAAAGGTCGACTTGCTTCACATTTAATGTTATTTTTTTAAGTTTGCAAAGTTACAGTTAAAATTGTTAAACTTGGTTTGAAAGACAGGTTTAACCACTGCCATAAACTGATATTTTTTGGCAGGCATAAAGGTAACGTGAAGACAGACTAATAAATAAAGAGTCAAAACAGTCTCGATTGATTTTTTTTTTTGAGTAGCAGGGAGGATTCTTACTTGCTGCCAAAGACAGTAAGTGTTTTTTATAGTTTTTCAAAGGGATATTCTTAAGATATTGTAGTCATTAAGCGCTCCGAGCATTTTCATATTTAATCTCTGAATTAGTGAAAGTGATCCTGTTCAATCCTGTAGAAATTTGACAGACCACCCAACGAGTCATAGTCAAGTGGGATTCCAATCTACCTCAGAATTTCTAGAAGAGAGAGAGTGGGAGAAACCTAGCCTATCATTCCTGTGATCTGTCGAATCACATGATGACGTGAACGATTTGGGAAAGCCTTGAGGTTCCTCAAATGGCAGAGACCCAGTGCTGTAAGCCATTGAGATATGACTCAGATAGACCACAGAGATAGTGATCACTCTCCCTGGGTCGGAGCAAGATGAAAGACTTTTTGACAGTGGAGACAATGACAGTTATGTAGTAAGCAGGTTCCACAGAGAACCGCCCCCTCCCACCTCCAGGATCTATAAAACTACCAGAATATAACCACATACACTATGAGGGTTTTTCTATTAGTATAT